TGCACAGCTGGCAGAGACTCAGCCGAGCTGCCTGGAGCTGCCAAAGGAGCTTCCTCAAAGTCATGAATTAAGGCTTCAGAAGTGACCGAACGCTTTACGCCTTCGGCCTCCACCTTCACTCACCTGAACACTTCATTTGAGTTGCCTGAGATGGGGGTCTTCTTTTCAGGAGTTCCATGGCACTCAGACTTCAGCAGGGTGTGAGGGCCGCGGTCCATCATCATGGTGGAGGTTGCCATAGTGATTATCGCCACGCCATCACGAACGCGGGCCTCTATGCCGTAGTCCCACTCGTCATAGGACACGGACAGCAGACCTGGATGGACAACGCAAAAAGACAAGGATCAGAGACAGTGTGGAAAAAGGAAGGTGAAAGAGATGGTGAGGGAGGGATTAGTGGAACCAGAGAGACGAGGATTCAGGAACGTGGGGTAAAAGGCAGAAGAATGGGAGGCGAACTGGATTATGTGGGGGAAAGACAGAGACAAAAGAGAGAGACAGACAGATGGAGAGAAGACAGGGATAATTCTCTCAGTGTATACAGTGTGTGCATGTTTTGAACACGCTCCAAGAGACAGAGCACACACTACGTGATGACTCAGAGAACAGACGATGAGTGCTCCCGTCCTGCCCGACTAAGCGTCTATCACCTTGCTGTGTTTGTCCATCTGTCTGTCTCTGTTTGTTGGCCTTTCGCTGTCTGTACGTCTGTTTGTCCGTCCTCCTGTCCGCCCGAGTCCTGTTCTCTTTTGACAATGTCTGTTCATGAACAATCTGTTGAAGGTCTCTCTCTCTCTCTCTCTGCCTCCCTGCTCGTCCCTCCCGGTGCCCTTCCAAACATCCATCAGGCTGCTCAGCTGTTTGCCAGGATCCCCGTCCTTCCTCCACCCTCTGGACCATTGATTATTATGGCGTGATCAGTGAGTAGATGTACTACACATATTTCATGCGGGCTGAGGACAGAGTTTGACATCTGTTCGGACCCTATAGGAACTTATATTATGAAGATTTTGTTTTGGTATATTATTAATCTAAATTAAATTTAAAAAAACACAGAGAACTGATTTAGTATGAAAACAAATTCATCATGCATCTCTTAAACCACAGCTGACATTCTGATAATGAGTTTCATTGATATTAAAGAGCCTTTATTGATAACATGTTAACCCCTGACAAACTGTCACCATTAATTGATGCTGCCCTGCACTGAGCCTAGTGCAGAGTTTATCTTTATTTAATGATCAATCATTTAGGCTCTTGTTCATCGCTGCTGAGACCCCATCTTCATCATCTTCTACCTGTCTGGTTCAGGTCATAAGACCACACTGGCCTGGGTCTGAATGTGCTGAGCACCAGTTAACTGCTAGTTATCAAATGGTGCTACCTGCTTTATATGGCTAGGACTTTTTAATAATCTAATTCATAAACAAAGTGAGTAGCAGCTCTCGAGCACCCTCACAGTTTACGTCGTGGCAGCTGTTTGCTGGTGTCCTGTTTTAAAATGAATTGTCTGAAAACATCAGATTGATTTTGCAAACAGCTGCTGACGTTTCAGAGCCACAGCCGATAAAATCTGCAAGAAACAATCCACAGTCACCGGCTGTAAACGAGAAGCTGGGTTTGTTTACTTCTGTGTAAAATCAAAGCCCCATTGTTTAAGACACAGCAGCAAATTTAGATGAGTTTAATGTGAAAAGCCTCCTGATCAACCTGCCATCTAAACTCTCAGCTGCATGTGGCCTTCTGACTTGTGAAAATTGCCAATAACTGATGTTTTGGCCCCGTTGGTGGCCTCTGCGTTCAGGTCACACAGCTGTCAGCGATGCACATCATGCCTTCAAGTCAATTTATCTGGCTCTCTGTCTGCCTTTTAATCTGGTCCTCTCTGTGTCCATCAGTCATTCTGCCTCTATCTGACAGCGTATGACCACACGTCAGCAAGGCCACTACCATGTCAGTGGGCAGAAATAGACAGGCGGCCTGACAACCTGCCTTCCTCACAGGGCCGCAGCGCTGACAGCTCCGGCCCTCCAGGACCACAGCTAATGTCACCACTGTTGACACTTCCTCAGCACTCACTCACCGATTCCCATCGCTTGTTCCTTTTTACACATTTCGCTTTTATTATTCTGTGGGAAATATTCTTTCCTAGGGAAGACGTGTCTGTTGGCAGCATGCGTGCATCTGTTGTGCATCCTGGAAATTGCTGCGCGATGTGTATATATTCATACCCCTCTCAGGACATGTTCATATGCCACAACACAGACATGTCAACTGGCAGTGTTAGAGCTGAACAGCACTGCAGCAGCTCTAAAGCCTTTTCCTTTGTCTTTGCCTGTGTTTCAAAGGAAAAGGCTGTCTCTTTGTCACAGATATGCACACACATGCGCTCATATACCAAAAAAAAAAAAACCCCAGTGCCCACACCCAGGCAAACTGATTGGAGAACGTAACAGCTGAACTACAGTATCACTGGGGTATTTTTGGAAACAGCTTATTACTGTCAGTGATGTCAAATCAGGATTGGGCGGTTACATTAGCACCGCCTGTGCAGCACTAGTGTGTAACTCTGATCAAGAAGAATAGAGACGGAAAGGATGTTAGCAAGAGAGAGAACCGAGAAAAAAGAGGGACAGGATGAGCCAAGACAGAAAATCAGACAGCAGCAGACATAAAGATACAGAAACTCCAGGGAGCAAAGAGTTGGGAGAGAGTCCGAGGAGGCTGAACTGGTGAGACAGAAAATACAGAGAAACAGTGGAACAAGATCATGAAATAAGGAGGAATGAAAAGGAAGGAGAGTGGGCGGAGAGACAGCTCCCCAGAGCGCCACTTAAGGAAGGCTTCAGTGGACTTATTCAGAAGAACTGGAGGCTCTTCATCACACGTGGTGCAAATTATTTAGTGTGCCTAGTAAGCAAATTAGCCCCACAGCTAGCGTGCACCTTCTGCTGACCCCCAGACCACTAGATTCACCCAGAGCACACACCAGCACAGCCTCAGTCACGTGCTGTGCCGTGGTGTCGTTTCGCTCTGTGCTCGCTCAGAAATCAGTGCAGTTAACATCTACAAGCTTCATGTGGCTTTTCTGACGCTGAGGTTGAAAGTCACAGACAAGAGGTGGTGGAGTGACTGAGCTGGATCCTGATGCTTTAGCGGCTCATTTTGAAGGTGGCGCCGTCTCGGTGCAGGTTTTTCAGACCCTCACAGCTGAAGGTGCTGATGTGTGAAAGTTCATCGTATTGGCAGAGGGCAGCGTTGATCCTGCAGCGGCGGTGCTGTGCACAGCAGCTCAGCCATGTTGACACTGTATGCACATGTCAACACCCAAAATATAATATGGTTTCTATGCAGGCTGCCATACAGCATCATATTTTATTTTCTATCTTAAATTCATAAGATACCAAACTACATCATCATTTAATGTAAGAGAAAACATAAACCATCTAATGTAGTTCATGTATTTAATATCAGCCATTTTGTTTGCTAAGTTCCTGTTCATCACACATTAAACAGCGGATGACATTTAGCCTGCTGCCTGTCATCACGTCCCATATGATTAATTCCATGATAGTTCAGTGTTAACTACCAGAGGTCTGTGTGCGTCCAGGCACTTAGCCAGCTCCACCATGTAACCGCCCAGACAGTACACGAGCAGGACACAATTATCTCTGTGGCAACATAAATCACGAGTGAAGTTGCTGTGTGATTTACATAACTGATACGGTGATAGATCAAACTTTATAGAGCGGAACTCTAATTTGAAACAGACAAACACATACAAACACACACTGAGTTTTGATCACACTCACCTACCAGCAAACACTCTCATCCTTCACCGTATGAGGTACACAAAAGCATAAACACACAACCCATTTGATTACACTCACCCATTATTTTCTCATGCAAATTAAAGCGTGAACCAGTCGCACATTTCACAGACAAATGCACACAGACAAACACTCACAGGCTCACAATCAGACACCTAACTGCAATTTAGAGTAAATCACCCATGGATGACAATGAAGAAGCAGAGGTGAAAAGTTTGAGTCCCAGTGCTTGAACCCGACGACAATCGCACATTCCGCCTGGCAACCATTGTTGAGGACAGGCAGCAGTGTAACCTCGGGGGGATGGCACTCCATCACTTCTTATTAGGAAAGGTCAGTCTGTGTTTTGTCTTGCAAGAAAAATCCAAAGAGTAAACCGAAAATAAAATTTAGGAAATAAAACTTCAGAATTCTTTCTCTCAAGTAAACCAAGCGGAAGATACTGCGAATGCATACATGAGAGTTTAGTAACAGTGACATTTTAGCTTGGTCCATACACTGAATAAGAAGTATTAGGCCAACATCACCACTAGTGAACAAGGTGAGAGCAAAACCACAACAACAGCAACATGACACTACTGCTCTGAGCTAGCTTTAAGTATAAAGTGAGACAGTAGCTCACTTTCATCCTGATTAGAGATTCCAACTTAACTCTTTACATGGATGCTCAAAGCATCAGAATATAACTTTTTTGACATGCACAAAGTGGCTCCAAACAAACGACAACCTCCAAGGCTGAGATAAAACCTGCAGTTCCTCGAATGGCCACTAGAGGCTCTCTCCAAAACGAATAAAGAGCAGCCAACAGTGCAACGTAACTGTTGTACCCACAGAGGGCTTAGGATTTGAGCTCATAGCAAGCAAACATCTTTCCATGCTGAGAATATGTCAGACAAAAACAGGATCCAGACTGAATTCCTGATTCTGGTCATGACTTCCTACCTGTGGGGAACTCTGCAGGCACTACGTCAGTGTCTCCTGCCACCAGCGAGGGCACGATCCATGTGTAGCCGTAGCCGGTGATCCCAACAGAGTGGGACACCTCAAAGATGGTGTTGGCCTCTTCTTTAGTGCAGTAGAGAACAATGATGGGGCTCTGGAGCTTCTTCAGCTGGTTCTGGATCTTTGAATCTCCGTCATCTACAGCCATGTCAAGTAGTAAAACCTCTTCCAGTTCCCAGCCTACAAAACTGTTCTCAATGGTGCTACGGACCTGAATGGGACACAGAAAAAAGAGGGTGATCAGAAGATAGGAATCAGCTTAAATGCTAAGGAAACCTGTCTCTAATCAGTGTCCCATATCAACATTTCATGCTTATATACACAGGACGGGGCTGAAATGTTTCAGTTGTGACAGACTTGTGTCATCCTTCCTTTACATCTTAATCATTGGGTGCGTGTTATCTCTGCTGAGTGCAGTTACCTTGGTGACAAAGTCCTGGTAACCTGGGTAGTACGTGGTGACGATGGAGAAGATGTACCAGTCATATTCCTTCATGATATTGAGCATGACTGAAGCCTGCTGCTCAATGGACGGGCCAAACTGAAAGAACATGGAGTGGTCATCCTGATAAAGACAGAGGAACAAAGAGGCAGAGAGTAAGTGGTTATGTAACGGCACTGGCCTGCACTTTAATTTAGTTGGCTTTACACACAGAGGAGAACAGCTACTACTCAAAGGACAGCGACGGTTTTGTAACATTATTGGGGGCAACATTAATTTAGCTGCCTTTATTCTCTTGCTCACAGAGAAGAAAGACAAGAGGACACCACTCGGCTTGTAATGATACCGGTCATGATTTTCATTAGTCGCCTTTATGCCTCCCTTAATGAGTTTGTACACAGGGGTGGCAGAAACTGTGTTTGTAATCTCATCAATCATTTTCATCAATTTGCTTTATTACAGTCGTGTCAGAACAATGCAACCTCCGAGGTGCTAGATATTAGACACTAGAAATGACACACATCTTCCCTGAACACACAGCACATAAAACAGCACTAATTCCCTTCCCTTGAAGAGGCCGGATGTGAATAAGAGAGATACTGGATGTGCAGTCAGTCCAGTAAACACGCCGATATCCAAGCCTGCATCTCGCCACCGGTGTTGAAATGGAACACTGAGCCGGACAGAAGACGAGGAGGAGGTGAGAAGCGTTGGTCTAGACAAGACTCTGTGATAGGAGCTCGTTACTGTACATGTGTGAGTCAGTGTGAGGCGGTGCAGCTCTGTGTACACAATACACAGTAGTGTGTTGATGTTCTTGGATATTCATGCTTCTGATGCAGCAAATGATATGAATGAGAAAGTGTTTGTGGTGCATTTCTTGCTCAGTGTGGATCATCGGATGTTGCTGACGGCCAGACAGACAGACAGACAGACGGACAGACAGGCAGGGCAGGGCCAAGAGACCTCTGGCCTCTCAGGAGAGGAGACCAGCTATGGCTTTACTCGGCATCCAAAGTCGACCTGCCCCTGCCAGGGGGTGCTCACGTTGATCAGGGCTATGCCTCTGGGGTGAGGAACAATGAGACTTACCGAACACCTGTGAATGATAAGTGTAATGTGCTGCATCTGTGAGGTTGAAAACATGTCATGAGATATAAAACATGTGCATCTACTGTTGACCTCAGAGGCCGTTTCAAAATCATGAAATGATGACGCACACACTGATGTCAAGTTGTCTTCATGGTCTCTTTTTTTCTCGTCCTTCATCCATCTCTATCCATCGCTTGTCCCGCTCTGCCGTCCCATTTATATCAGTGCAATTACTGCCAGGGCACAGTTATAATTGAATTTCCAGACTCGCGCACTACCGCTCTGCCTTTTCATCCTCTGCACAGCACCCCACCACCCATTTCATCTGGCGTCCCCTCTCTAGGTCTCTCTTCTTTTTAAGAGCAGTGTTAATGTACTGTCCAACACACGGCAGAATGTTCATTAGCCTTTGAGAAAAATACGTGTTAAAAGCAGGTGAAAGATACTGGTGTAAAAAAAGTTTTTAAAAAGTAAGAAGAGAAAACCGGGCTGGGAGCAGGTTGACTGATACCAAAGCTTGAGTAAAATAACGTGTTGTAAAACACCTCTCTTCATTTACAGCAACTATAATTAGAGTCTGGCCACATTATCACCTCTGTTGGCACAAGGTGATCAATTAGTGAGTATTAAAATTCCCAGAGGGGGCAGCGAGGCCTGAAAGCCAGACAGCCAGATGCAGGAAGCAGGCCAACGAGGCTCTGAGCCGGTCAGTGTCCTCTCTGAGGATCCACAGCTGACGTCAGCACTGGCTACTGTACACACACACACACAACAATACAGCAGGATGAATGGCTGCTGGAGACAAGGGAGAGAGAGATGAAGAGATATGGCAAGCAGCAGAAAAGAGCAGATGAAGCCACAGAAGGGAGCAGATGACAGAAGAGAGGAACTAAACGGAAGGAATTAAACAGGCAAGAATAAAGGACAGAGATGTTCAAAAAGCAGCGAGGACGTAGCCGAGACCTGAAGCCTCCAGAGGGGCAGAGAACAGTGTGGTGACGATGAACAGAGGAAGAGGAGAGGCCGGCAGGCGGCCTGCACGAAGCGAGGAGCAGTGGAGGGGCAGGAGGCCAGAAGCCAGCAAAGGAGCAGGCGAACGAGGTGTCCGTGTGTGTGTCTGACTGTCGGCCACACATCGAGGCAGGACGAGTTGTCCAGGCGCAGAGAACGGCTGCTGTGTGTGTTTGTCAGCATCTGTTTGGGTGTGGGACCAAAACATAGCCACGTGGTTGTGACCGATCGTCTGTATCTGTGTAGGTTCAGCCTCAGTAGGGCTCTTTGTGTGTGTGTATGTGTGTAGACATGGCTGGCAGGACTTGGCATGTCAGGGCTGCCTGCTCTGCCCCCAGAGCCTCCAAATGAGCGCTCACACACTCCTGGAGTAGTTATTTTGTTCGGACAGGAGAGAGTCCATAACTCATGTATTTCAATTACACACACAGGGACACATCAGTGACTGCCAAAGAAAGAGACCAACTTCCAATCTTGCACTGGAATACACACACACACACACACACACACACACACAGCTGTATTCAAACTCTCCCTCAAACACACACAACAGAAAATGGCAAATCAACTGAGGAATGACTACACAAGTGTTGCTTTAGACACACACACACACACACACACACACACGAGCACTCATATACACACCACCACACACACTTGGACACAATACAACAACACAAGGACCACTTTAAAATGGAAGCGTGTATTATACAGTGATCACAAAGCAGACACAGTAAACACAACAGTAACATTTTCACAGGCTCCTGGACAAAATGCTGACGTGTACTAGGCCCAGATTAAAGGGAAAATGAGAACAGGGTGGGTTTTATAAAACTTTTCTCCTTTATTATTTTCTCCTTAACGTGGCCATAATGCTTCGTCGTATAAGCTGATACTTGGTGAGTGAAGCAGGACGTTTTGGAGCCGGCATCTAGCAGCCACCACTGACATCTGCACTGGCTCCAGCCTCCAGATGTGCTAGTTGCTGGTGGTGTAGTGGATTACAGTTGACCAGTGGTCTGTACGAATTCCCCCCATAAAAATAATATCCCTCCATAGACAACAATGGTAAAAGAGACATCTGTGACTACTGACAGGACTCCTGGACCGTCGCTCTTGGAGGTTTTATATTTGTAAACCTTTCCCAGAGCCTAGAAAACTGACTTTGATCTCAGACACATCATCCCAGTGTAACTGAGCAGAAGTGCACAGGGAGGGCACTACTGTACACGTGCCGTGGACCCCATTACATGGAGCAAAGAGGAATCTTTGGCAATTTTCTTTTTTAGCAGAGGAGACCAACTTTCATTCATGTTTCAGTCTGGAATCCAAGTTCCCTTAGATCAGAAGTCAAGGCTTGGCGTGCACGTAAGCCACGAATGAATACATTTAACCATCATAGTAGGAAATACAGTTTTACTACTGCTAAAGTAATAACTCCCTGAACCTCGATCTGCAGCAAACAGATGAGGACAAAGCAGTTGAGTGTTTTTTTTTTTTGATGGATTGATTGATTGATTGATTCTTTCAAGCATGTAAAGACAGT